GAGGTACAATAAGGGGCCGGAGAGATCGGATTGGGTCAGTCTAGTCCCGTCTCTGGTGACTAAAGATGCTTGCAGAAGAGCAGATAAAGTATCTGACGTGCTTAAGTGTCAAAGTTAACGGTCAGGGATTGGAAAGCTCGCAGCAGAGCTTATTTGCAACCTCTGGAAGAAAATGACATTATATTAGAGGCGTCTACAGTATTACAGCAGTAGGCGGAAGCATATTCTTTATTGAGAGGTGAGCATATGAAATCATTGCAAGGTACAAGTAGTGCAAAGTATGTTTTATTTTCAGCCATTGCATTGCAAGGAGATCCAGAGCCTTGAGACTCATACCCAAAAGTCATGAACTGTGGTTTCATTTTGCTTTATCTGATTTAATTCTTTAATGAAAATAGGGGTTTTTTGGTTAGTTTGTTCTCTCCCAGTTGCTACTCATGCAGTTAACATTTAATAGTATATATAACGGGGAGAGACTAATATAGGGACATGGCAATAGCTTTCTCTATCATGCCTCTTCACTAATATCTCTGAGTAATTGTGTGTCATCATAAGCCATTTGTGTTAGAAAAAAAAGTAAAATGCAATATCAACAATGTTAGTCCAGTCAAATCAATGCTTTCTATGACTTTGTGCTAAATTAATTATCCCACCTTGTAGAAATACACATATTTTATAACTGTGATTTAGGATATTCTAGAGGCATTTGCAACCACTTAAAATTCACTTGCTTGGTTTGTGGTGGTCCTTAAACCTTACAGACTTCAGCTGCCATCTGAGTTTTCCTCTCCAGTTCTTCATTTCCTTTTCTGTCAAGTTTCTTCTCTCATTCTGTTTGCAGCTCCATATGACTGGTTTTGATTTTTAAAGCCTAACTAAAGTAGTCATGAGAATAATGTATAACCAAATATTTTCATTTTTTTTGTATAGTTTTCCTTTCTGTCTTTTGCCTGATCAGTCTATATATAAGACTTTTAGAACTGTTTCCTGTTGTTTATGCAGGAATCTGGCACTGTGAGGTATTACCTTAATTGTTTCTTAGATGTTCTCATGAATAACTCAAATAAATAATACAAGTGAGGGTTGGAGTTTGTAATTTCTTGTGTGTGAATGTGATTGCTTTTCTCTACTCTTCAGCTTTGAGCTTTTAACTGTGCTTTCTTACTATGTCTGAAACAAATTTAGTCTTTGCCTGACATTTTCCCCCTCTTCGAAGTAAATTTCTTCAAAATAAGCCCCCTCGCATGTCGTTTCCTTTAATGACTTCTATTCATGAACTGTTGTCGCATGTGAGACGTATCTTATAGATGTTTCTGTAAAGTGTTGTGCAAATTAATGGTATAATATAAATATATTATGGTATGAGGGAAAGCACAACCAATATCGTGTGGTGATGGTAAAAATTTCATAGTGCATGTCCTAGAGGAGTTCTAAATCCCTTCTGCCTTAACAGTCTTGCTGTATCGTATGAATTTGTGGATGAGAGATCTGTTCATTTACCATGTAGGATGAGAATTCAAGTTGATCTTGAACACAGAAGTAAATGTGTTGAGATAATTTTACTTTATTAGGTATTCATTTAGGAAGAAATAAAACTCAAAGATAGGAACAATAGCTATATAAAATATTCAGAGTGATTTCTGAAGAAATTTTACAAGGTTTCAGGTCATAAATTTCCACCTCAAGTAGAATTCCTAATAGATTCTGCAAACGAAGAAGGAATTTATTGTCTGAGGTATCAGATTTATTCATAACATCTAAAATGTGGAATATGGGAAAGGATGAAGGAAGATTCTTAGCTCTATCAGGTGAGGGTTAGGTGAGGAACGTATTATAACATTTTGGAGTTGTCAGGTCAGCCATTACTGAATATGCCTAAAAATACCACAGCAGAGTGAATTGTAGATCACTCCCTGCAGGCAACTTCTTGTTCTCTAATTTTAGATTCTCTTCTGAAGGAAATACTTCTCGATGATGGAAGCAGTGAGGAGTCTGGGTAGCATATCTTGGTCTACTCCTAATCCTTTGTACCTTTGGGAAGCCATTTTGTCAATGCATACTTCAGTTGCAGTTAAAAAATGAAATTGTAAAGATGAAAGTGTAGTTCTGAATGTTTCATAGCATTTTAAAAACTTGTGAAGATCATAAACTAAACCAAAAATGCCTCATATACTGAATTTTATAGTTTCATTGTTTAGTAGTATATGTTTCATTTAGTATTCTGCTAAAGAGCAATAACAATTTAAAACATTTGGTGTGATGATAAATGCAGGTGTAACTGATATATAGATGAGAAGATCTTTAGAATTTCCTACCAATTGGAAGACTGAGCTGTTTTCTTCCATTGGCAAGAAAGGGGAAATGTAACATTTAAATAAAAGCCAACTACAGACAGATGGCTTCAGGAGTCTACCTGGTTGATTATGCTAGACTTAAAACAAGGATCGAAAAAGCATGCAAAAAGAAAATTCCTTTAAACAACATAAGTCCAACTCGGAACTTCACAGTAGATAAAGATAGTGAGTTTGTTTGGGTTTCTTTATTAAAAGAGTTCTGGTTAGAGAACATGTTAAAACTGTCCTAAAAAGATAAATATTACAGACTAGCGTCACTCTTAATATAGATGAAAAAGAAACCCTGATGTTCTTGGTATATCCTTTTTGTTTTCTGGGGAGGTAGGGTATCTGTCTAGCCATTTACATAATGGTTAGAAAATTGTGGGTTCTGAGGTGTTCACACTTTAAAGAGAGATTTGCATTCTAATAGCTCTTCTTTTTAAGCTATAGTGAACATTCAAGTGTTATGTTTGAAAGATATGTTCCGTTGACATGGTGATAAAGATGTTTTTTTATCCCTTTCCTGAATATGGTTAAGTATTTTTGTTGGCTGTTATTAAGTTTTACACTTTAAGTATTTTATTTTTTTTTAGTTATAAACTTCTCAGTCATTGGGCCCTTGAGACCAGCCTTGTGGCATTGTTGATCCTTTGCATTATCTGAAAACCTCTTTGGGATTTCAAGATGTAGATGCTCAGAATAAGAGTTCTGCACATGTAAACGTAAAGGAATCCTTTAGTCCTCCTCCCTAAATTAAGAGCCAAGTTTTCCCCTCTTGTATATTCACGCTGCTCACTTTGAGCCTATGTGCAGTGGAAGGCAAGACTTGTCCTTTGGTTTCCATTTTTTTTGAGAGGTGTTGCCATTTCCAGCCTTAGTGGAGCAATAAACATTGCCAGTTCAGATGAAAATTTGAAGTGGAAACTTTGTGCCTGTTTTTAGAGTTGTCTGTCGCAAAAGAAATGAAGTTTTAGTAGTTTTAGCAACGTAGAGAAAGATTTGATTCAAGTTCTCATATCTTTCAGAAGTAGTCACTAGTAATAGTCATTGTTGGTTTTGTTAGTTCTAGCAAATTAATGTTGGTGTCAGAAGAATAATATTGGAACTGTAAACTTCTTCACGGCATGGTAATTCTTTTATCATTTTAATGTCTTGCTGGGACAGTTTTGTGCAACTGTCACATTTACTGTTTTTAAACAGTGAATTAGTATTCTCAAAATAAGTTTAATAATGGTAGTATTATCTCTAAAAACGTGTGTTATCTTTCTAGTTATCTATTAAGTTCAGTAATAGCAAAATGTTTTTTTCTAGGTAACTTAGAAGAGAAATGCCTCATAGTGCTTCTGTTTCTCTTACTGAATAAAAATAACTTCAGACCTGATTTGCAGCAGCCGTGAATAATCAGTGAAGACATATAGCATTTTCTGGAATATTGAATTTTCTCATAATGAAGATCTCTCTTCTGCAGCAGATGTATAAGGATGTACTGGTAGGCATTCCGCTAGCAAAGGAAAGCCATCATTATACTTCTTTACTTAATATGTGTATTCAGCAGTCACCAGAAAGAGACAAATTGTGTGGTCGTATGCATCTGCCATCTACTGATGGTGGTATTAGGAGCCATCAGGACACTGATATGTCAGATGCGGTTGTCCCTACAACAGATGATATATCAAATAGCTTTGCAAACATGAACTCCTCGTTCTGTCCACGAGAAGTGATGCTGCTTCAGTTAACCTTGATCAAGATGATGGCTGATAAAGCACAGTCCCAGGAAATTGAATTCAATACAAGACAGAAGTACTGTGAAATCTTTGTCCTTCTTCTGAAGGAGGCAAAAATTGACTCAAAATTGGTAAGCTTTTGTAAACTTTTGAAAGATTTTTGTGAAAGGAGGAAAAAAAAAGGAACATGTCTTAGGTCCTTTTTCTTTCTACATGTCTGCAGATTTGTCTGCTCAGTAGTTATGATCGGCTGTTATCTCACCTGGCTTCAAAAAGTTTAGCATCTCTTGTGTATTTCCAGCTGAAGGAAGAGGTGAGTATGGCATAACTTTTCACAGCTTAAAAAATAACATAATGAATATGTGCCTTCAAGTTGTTCCATTTGGCTCTAGAGCCAAGTTTTTCTAGTGTTTATACAGCACAAAAGCAATCACTATATGACTGCTGTAAAACTGAAAAGTGCTTCTGAAGAGGCTCCTTTCGTAAGTAGCCCCACCGAGCGACATCAGAACTGCTCCTTTCCTCCGTCTGTTGCCTGCATGTCCACTCTGCTCTCGCTTTCTGAAAGGCACGTTGCAGTCTGCCGATGTTCAGCGTACAGATTCCGTTAGTCCCTTCAAAATACCACAGAGTTTTGTAGAAGTGTATTTTGCTCCGGTATCAGGAGGAACTTGAAGGTTATACGAGGTAATGCTGTGTGGTAGTTCCCCCATAAAGTGTGTCTTAAGGGGCTTTGGGTTGTAAGTGATGGATGGGAAAGAGATGTAATAAATATTACAAGAGGGTGTTTCAAGTGTATTAGGAGGGATATGGAGCATAGAAAGAAAGGAGATCAGGTGTGTAACAGAAGTTTGTGATGTGAGGTGCAAAGTCTTTACATATAAAAATCTGGAATTTTACAAAACTATCTTAAGGTAAAATGTGTCTAGATGACAAGAAATATTCTCTTTAAGGTTGCAGTACAGGTATTTCAAAAAAACAATAGCGTATCAATATTTTTACAGTTACTTGATATCTGCTAGGTGATGCAGTAGATAAAAATATGTGATAACCTATTGAAAGTTAATCAAATGCTTTTCTGTATTTTCTTGTTTGAGTAGTCCAATCGAGTTTTTTTTACTTGCTGTATATTTGGTGAATATATATTGTAGCCTCCATAGTAGCATCTCTGAACATAGATTTCTCTCAGAAATATGTTTGTAGTATTTCTTAAAGTTGTCTGGGTCTGGGAATTAGGAATTCAGATATGGTCTGTCCACAGTATTATCTGATTTGGGGGAGGTCACATGATATTAGGAGGTTTGATTTTTTCCCTTTCTGGAAAATATAGATTATTTAGATTGCATGCATGTGTGACTTAATGTTTGTAAATAGAGGCCTATGTACTTAGATGACACAGGACAGAGATATTGTTTCTACTTGTGTTTTGTCTATGCCTACATTTGAATCTTTAATGTACAATTTTAAAACATTGTATTATGATTTAATGTAATTTGCATAGCAATTGTAAAACATGTATGATTGAGTTTTGATCAAATTTTCTTAGAACGCGTTAAATGTCACCTGGCTCACCTTCAGTTTGAAGACTCTTTTAGGATTTCCTGTGAATACCCGGGTAGCAGAATGCCTGTGGACTCTTACAGCCGTTATCAAGGACGTCCTGAAAGATGGAGCTTTGCCCAGCGCAGGTACTGTAGCAGTTCGGTGACGTTACCGGTAGAGCAGTGCCCGCTAGAGGGGGGAGTGTTACTTGTAATCTCGTCTGGGGCAGCTTCTCTGAAGAACACCTACTTCCTTCCTTATAAAGAGGATGACAAAGTCCGATTAAAAATGTAGTGCTTTAAACATGCTTAAAAACTGAGAAAAGTCGCAGTCACCGATTTTCTGCTTATTTGATGATTTAGCTGACTCTGTTATACTCCCAACTCCATAACATTGTTCTTGTTGCTGTAGGTATTTTGAAGAAGTTGTTGGCTCCTCTTGATGCTGTGCTTGAAGGATTTTATAATTCCATTCTGTCCCATCATTTTGACAGTCAACGCTATACTTCACCTTATTCTGAAGCTACAAACGATTTGATCAGTTTTACAGATCTGCTTGAAGCACTTTTGGCTTCCAGAACTGAATTAGAACTACCGCTCAGGTGCCAGAGAGTATTGTTTCTGAAAGTTTCTTATGTCCTGAACCTCATTAGCTCATCAGTTCACTATTTAATCAAGAAGAAGTTCATTATGCTCCTTAAAAAATGTGTCCTTTACAAGTCTAGAGAAGATGCTAAAAGTGGATCGCTGTTCTTAGAAAACCCATCTTTATATGAGGATGTGCTTGCACTGAGTAATGCTGTTCTGCAGGTTGTGAATTTGACTTGGCTTAATCGGATCCCACTCAGCGAAAAGGACAGCTACTTTGGAGGCAGTGAAGCTGCTCCTGGAGGTGATACTCAAGGTGGTTCTGACCAAACTGTTCTCAGAGCCTTAAGTCTGGTTGTGCTTAAAGCACTGGAATTCAAATTTCAGAACTCTCCTACAGAAGCTGAAATCAAAGGTAATAGTCTCTCTTAGTCTTGTTCATTAAGCAGCAAGAGTTTTAAAGCTTTTAGGTTTTTGTAGTCACAGCTCATTAAGACTGTAAATACAATTCAGCTGAATAGTGGTGGTGGGAGGGAGGAAAGAGAAGACCCACCCAGGAAACCTGCTATCTCTGTGTCCTGCCTAATTAGTTGTCTCCTTGCATCCTATCCTTAGCCCTGCAATATGGGGGGCTTGGAACAGCTGTGTTTGGGATTGAAAACTTTTCCTGTTAAGAACATGTGTTAATATTTGAAGTAGTTGAGCCAACCTGGGAGCACCAGGCTCTGCTCCAGTTGGAAAAGAAGAAAACCTGTAGTACAAGCATCTACTGTCTTCACAGTGGGGAACTAAAAGGAACTACAGGTAACACTCTCCTGTTTTCTAGTATGGAGGTAGAACTTTAAGTACCATTACGTGCTTATCTTGGTTGAAGGTACTAGGCATTACTGTTGGACAAAAAATGTAATAGGGCAAAACCAGCAGTGGTAGAAAAGGTAAAAGTAATGAAGCTATAAAGTAAGAAACAGGAAAATTGAGACTTGGCAGAGTATAGTCCTTGTGTTTTTCACCCTGACTTACAGGTCTCCTCCTTTGAATTAGTAGGTGTGAGGCATACTTTTCATACCTGCTTACTTATGTTTGTTTTACTGAACAGGTGAATTAGATTGGTGGAAGAGCAGATCTGGCTCTTGTGCTAGGGCTATGCCCCAAGGCAGGCAGTGGGATGGCAAGGGAATGCTGTGTAACTTGTGTTCCAGACGGGAGAGGATGTGTTGCCATGCCACGCTTGTAGCCAACTAGTAGTATTGCTATAATGAAGTGGTGGGGTGAGGCTTTTTGCCTGAGACACACTCCTGGAATCCCACCTTCCCACTTGCATTTTTGCCTCTGAAAGGCACATGATGCGCATCTTGTGATGCTAAGCTGTGTGAATGTGGATGGGCAAATTCTATGATCAAAGCAGCTTGCTGTCCCTGGATTACAGGCTTCACAGAGAAAATGGAAAGGCAGTTCTGAAGCAGCATTTCTAGTCAAATACAAGTGAGAATGGATGTTCCTTGTTGTCAGCCAATTGATGATGTGGCAAAAAGTAAAAAAAAAAAAATCTACATTTCTTTTTAAACAAGGATGACATTTTATAGCATTTAAATAATTGAGGCATTTTAATACAAGATACAGATGCATATGTTATTTTACTTTTTATATCTCCATTTTATATTTCAAACATAATCAATTTTTAATTCATCTGATTGTGCAAAAGAGCTATAGACTTCTGTAAGACAGCTTCTGAAACTTTTTCCAGATTTTGCAAGATGTTATATTTGTGATGCCAGTTGCATTGTTATAGTCTTTTAAGTATTTGTAGAGAATATTTTACTTATGAGCCACCTTCTGAAAAACATATACAGACTGAGATTGTCTAAGAACAAGTGAATAGAAAAAATGTAGGTTAAATCTATTTTAGAAGTGTCTATGAAAATTCTTTCTCAAAGAAAAAAATTACTCTTTCTTTTCCAGATGTATGACACAAAAATGAGTTCTTTAATTAGATTCAAATACCCCAACTGTCAAGAGGAATTTCAAGTTGAAAGGAATGGTGCTTCTATTTTAGTGACATTAAATTAAGTGGTTAAAACAAGCACGAAAATGCTTTAATATGCTAACTTCCCTTCTAGGAAGCTGGTTGATCTTATCTTTTTTTATTAACATGAATTATAGTGGCTTAACTTTAATTCATGTCAGTTTTGAGAGTAACTTCCAGATGGCTTTGATTTATAGGGAAGACTTTCAGTCTGAATAGTAACTATTAATAACAAATATAATTTGCTGTCCCTATTATTTGCTAAGAAGAAAAGCAAATCTTAAAGTAAAATACTAAGGAAAACCACATAATGATGTGGTAAGTAAAACTGATTCCCATGTTGCAGGTAATTTTTCAAAAGCAGTAGTCACTCTTATATAAATGATGCAACTGTGCCCTTCAAGCCATAGTGTACTTCCAGAAGCATTAGAGTTCTTACATAAGGAGTACCTTTGGGGTAAAGATACAGGTCACAATATATATTTTTTTTTCTGTTTTCTAAATACTGAATATATGTTGTGTTGCATGAAAAGCTGCTAGGTAGTGCATGCTACATAGTGCATGCTATACAGTATGTCATTAGTATTGAAGAGGTAAGTTTCTTGACTTAAGGGACATAGTCTGTCTGTCATGAGAATACAAAGTTATTTTTATAAGTAAGCTACTGCACTAAAATGGCATAAATTTTGAGGTGCTTTTCCCATCCAGGAGTGCAGTGTTTAGAGGGAGGAGAAAGATGAAGATTTGCAGGAAAAACACAGTTTACATTAATCCTTCCAGCAAGGATTTTAGACCATCTTATGAAGCTACCTTTAGCCCAAGCCTGTGTGTACTTGAAAACGTACATCATCCATGAAGAATTTATTTTATAAAGAATATGGCTATACTACGAGCTTCATACTTCGTTTTACTGTAGAAATGACGATTTATTCCAATCAGCTATAGATCACTGCAGTTAATTTCTACAGTGAGTCATGCTGGGGAGGGGGGGTGATGCTTCAGTCCTGTCAAAATATGACAGTTGTATTATTATTTCATATGGGAAGAATCACCTGAGATGAAATCTCAGCAAAGTGCTCATACTGGATCATTACATCTGTGACATTGACTTGATTACAGTTCATTTTATTTTGTGATGTACCAATGAACCTACTTAATTGGGGAGCTAAAGGAAAGTATAAATCCCAGCTGTGTAGGTATAGTCACAGTTCTGAAGGTTTCCTGATACATGCAGATTTTTGGAGGTGTAAATCCTGTTCATTAGTCTGCAAGCTTAGGCATAAGAGGATTCACCCTGTTGTACCCAGAACTTTCTAGGTCACCTCTGATTATTCTTCCCTAACTCCAAGGAAATAAAGAATGCTGTTAGATGAATAAATTGTGTCCTTAAGTTTTATCTGTCTTGGTGGGATGAGTGGTACCTAATGAGTAAATTAATTTTCTGCAGGTTACTTATAATTGTTAACTTTGGCATCTAAACATTGGTATGTTTAAAGTTTACCAGAGTAGCCATTCACATTGAATTTAAGGTTAGATAACTGCTTATAACTTTCTGCAAAATATTTCATGATTTCTTTGTTACCAAGAAGCAAGAACTGATCTACAAAATTTGGTGCTGTGTCAAATCAGTTGAGTTAAGCAACGATAAATGCATAACAGTTCATGAATGCACTGTTAATTTAAAAAATAAAAAGTGTATGTTGTTTAGTAACAAAAAATGTATAGAAAATTTCATGGTTAATTCTTTTTTTCAGGAGACTTTCAGAGTTCCATGTCCCAGCTGTTGATATTTTGGAGGAGTCATCTGAAGTCTTCCCCACAGTCTCACCTGGTTGTACATCACTGTGAATGGCTCTCTTTGATTTTCATAGAGCAAGATGATGATATGTGGGAAGCTGCTAAAGCTTTATTACTCATTTATTTAAAATTTGATAGGTTAGTGTACATTTTATTTGACAGAACTATGAAGAATTGTAATTTAGTGAGGTTATTGTGATATACTTAATTATAATTGATTACTTTTTTATAAAGAAAAAATGTTTTGAATAATTAAGGAAACCCCAAACCTCAGGATAGTGTAATAATGTGTGGTGTAAGAGCAGTTAACTTTGATAATTTGATTAAGTGTTTTTTGGATTGAAATGAGGGAGTTGTGCAACCGTTTCCTATGAAATACTTTATCATGTCCTGTAATTCAGAATAATTGACTTCAGTCTAAAGCCGTGGTTAGACAGAGATAAAAGGCAAGACTGTTTTCTTTCAACACTGAGAGTTTGACAAGAATGGGATATTATAATTAAACTTCAAGAATTGAGGGACTTCTGGCAAAGTAGCCCTCTAAGGATTTGATCCATGTTAATTCTAGCTAGTTAATAAAAACTGTTATTGCTAACAACTGAAATGTGTTCTTCATGAATTTGTCCTGGACATTCACTGCTACATTGTTTAAATTACCATACAAGATAACTACCCTAGTTTGTAAAAGGTCCCTCGAGCTTCAAATGTGAAGATACTGCAAGTAGTATTGGATACGCACAATTCTTCTTTGACACCTAAATAAAAGTAGACCACTCTTTTTCCAATGTGCTTAGCATCCTGAAAGTTAATCTATGTTCAGGCTTACAAAAATATTAAAATAACAGTTCATGTATTGTCGTAACTCTGTTTATTCCAGAATGTTTCATAGGGAGGAGTGCTGTTTAAGAAGGCCTGTCCAATCTCCTAGCCCTGCCTGCCTTCGTTCTTTCTCATTCTAATATAAAAGCTTCTTTTTTTGTTTTTTACTTTTTGACAAAATCAAAGAGAAAGAATACCATTTTCTGGACATACTTGTTTTAAAAAAATAAGTAAATTTCCATTTAATTTAATCCATTTCATGACTTTCCAGGTTACGGCATGATGCTGCTGGTAACTTCAGCCAAAAAGAGGAGGAAACCTGGAAGTTCCTTGTGCATGCAAGTGGATGTAATCCTCACTGTATCTTTTTATTTTTTCTGGAAAAAATTGCATTTGATTCCACAGTACTTCTAGATTTTTTGATTTCATCAGAAACTTGCTTTCTGGAGTACTTGGTAAGGTACTTAAAGCTTCTTAGAAAAGACTGGCATCAGTTTGTAGAAGTCTGTAACCATTTTGATACCAAACATGGCACTTTTCAATCAATTTCTTCTGCCAAGCCGCCCCATCAAGAACAACAAAGCTGTATGACTGATGAGAGTTTGCAAAATGCTTGTTGTGAACCAGAACCACAAACTCTATCTCTGGCTGCTTCTCACAATTACTTAGTGTTTACAACAGAGCAAGGTGGTAATGAAGTTGCGGAGTCTAACCGGTCTAACTCATTGATATGCACTGATGGTACATCTCTGCTGGGTTCACTTCGAAGCCTTGTTGATTATGACAGCTCAGAAGACTCTGAATTAGAATCAGATGGAAAAGAGGGCTTGGTAAACACGGAGCAGGTGCCTTTAAATAATGAGGGTGAGACAAGGATGAGGGAAGCTGGTTGCAGCTACACAGATGATAAACGGAATACACTCAAGTCTGAAGTGTTGCCTCCAAAACAAAAGGCATCTAATACCTCATCCTGCTTGACTTGCATGACGTCTTTGGATAACATCGTTCCCCTAAGAATAACGCTTTACAAATCAACAAAATGTTTGGAAGAACTGCAAAAAGCTATTTCTAGGTTGCAGAGAAGAAATCTTTTCCCATATAATCCATCTGCGTTGTTAAAACTACTGAGCCACGTTGAGAAGATCAGTAAGAACATGAATCCACAATAATCCAAAGAAGTGTTCTAGTGATTTTTTTTTTAACTAGTACACTCAGAAGTCATTAATCTCATGGAAACATTCCTAAAACTCATGCTTCTTGCACCTGTCAGTGTAGTTAACCTGAAACAGGATAAATGTGGTTTTGATTGGCACCTTAAAAATCTGCAATTGCATTCAGTGACATGGTCCGTTACCTGAGGGTCCTAGGCTTAAGCATGGTATGTATGTCAGTGTACAGTATATAAGGATTAATTGTTAGGTATTCAAAATTTGATAATTAATGTGAAAGCATATCAACAATATATGTGACTTAAAATATTGTCAATTACACTTGATGTTGTTCTATATATGAAGTCATTGCCAGATTGGTAGTGATTGATGGATTACAGTGCAGTGTTAATAGAACTCTTGGCTGCTTAGAGGTTGAACTAAATAAAATATTTTCGTTGGGGACAGTTTTGGTGTTTATACTGTGTGTTCTGCATCAGTGCTTTGCTCTAAGTGGACATTCAGATGTGCTACCACAATCACAATAATCCATGCCACGCTTCTCTTGGCTGAAATACTTAACTGATGTCTAGGATGTACTTTTTTAGCTTTTACTGTTTGCCTGATTTAATCAGCAGTGCTATCATTTCACTGAAAATTGAATTTAGTTTTTCTTAATATTTTATCATATATTCCTTGAATTAAAAGGAAAGGTAGATGTGGGACTAATGCATATATTGCCTATTGATAGAACACTTAAGTGGAGCATTATATCTAAAATCAAGCTTAGGTAATGCAGAAGTGAAATTCAAACAATTCCTTGCATCCGTTATGCATTTTATATAAGTATAGAATGTATACTTAATAAATCTGTTGAATCAGAAACAGATAACTAGAAATTAAGTATCTGCAGTGAGATGGATATTGAATTTAAATTCTTATACTTAATCTTTTATTAGATCTAATTTGAATAACCTGATAGGTAGCTGTAAGACTTTGCCTGGGGAGTGTTAGTTCAGAACAGGATCCAAACCAGTGTGTGCACCTAGCAGGAAGCCACGTAACATTGGTGCACTTAACGTGCAGCTCGTCATGATCTTACAAGAGTTAGGCAATGGGAAAGTACTGATGACAGGGACTACTGTAAAAATCTCAGACCTCACCAAGAACTGTAAGAAGCACTTTTCCTTTTAGGATCATCTCTTGATCGTAAGTGCTCTGTTCTGATTGAGAACCAACTAAGTTCTATCTTCCTTTCAAATAGCTAATTAGTGTTAAATTAAAATAGATACTGAGTTAGGAAGAACAGTCTGGAGCAGGTGACTCTGACCCCCATATCTCTGTGGCCATCTTCTATGTTAGTCTTGAGCTCTGAACTGGTGAATCAACACTATTGGGAGGGGAAGAAAACTAGGTGAAGCTTATGGGATAATATAGCTGGCGATTACAGTGCTTTCCAGAGACACTTGAATGGCATGAATTCTCAGATGGGAAGGTTTGAACCTCAGTCTTATTCTTTCAGGATGACAGCTGTAATCACTTGGCAGTTATAC